CACATCAAACGAAGTATATCAATGAAGTTTTGGACAGGTTCAGAATGGCAGATTGCAAGCCAATTGGAACGCCAATGGACCATAAGGCTAAGAAGTTCGAAAGGGTAACCGTAAATGAGGCGGATAACATTCCATATCAAAACCTCATTGGCAGCCTGATGTTTCTAGCTGTGGCAACAAGACCCGACATCAGTTACGTTGTAAGTTACTTGAGCCAATTTAACAATAGTTATGGACGCGAACATTGGACTGCAGCAAAGAGAGTCCTCCGTTACTTGCAAGGCACAAAGGACATGACGCTCGTCTTCTCCAAAAGTGGAAAACCCTTGTTCGGTCTAAGCGACGCCGATTGGGGATCGTGCAAAGTCGACGGCAGATCTTACTCTGGATATTGTTTCATTTATGCCAATGCAGCTGTAAGTTGGTGCTCAAAGAAGCAAAGCACTGTGGCGTTAGCTACCGCTCACTCCGAATGCTACGCCATAACTGAAGCCACAAAAGAGGCCATTCATCTCAAACGTCTCATCAACGATATGGGCATAGAACAAGACAGGATCACCATATTTTACGATAATCAAGCAGCTGAAAGAATAGTCACCGATCCTATAGTAAGCTCCAAATCGAAGCATATCGACATCAAGCAGCACTTTGTTCGTGAAGTCGTTGAGAGAGGAGACATTTCTCTGAAGTACTTATGCACCGAAGAAATGACAGCTGACGTCCTAACAAAACCGTTGGCAAAACCTCGTCACCACCAGCTAATACAGCAGATGGGTTTGAACCCTAATAAGATTCTTCGAGACATTCGTCAGGGGGAGTGTGGCAACCTAACTAATTGATGGGACTCATGCCCGAACACCATGTATGAAGAGAAGTGAACAGATCAAGACAATGTCAATAATAATTCAAGTTGTCAAGTTGTTATATTGACGGATTAAGTTTTCCATTAAAAGTTCGTTCGTTCATACGCAGTTTCTATCCATATAATCCCACAATTAAATATTCATGTCCTCTAGTTAATAACTACAAAAACTGTTACAACTTTCGTAAGGCCAACTTTGAACAACTGTATCAAATGATGTCTTCCATTGACTGGACTTTTCTAAATGCGTTTCAGGATGCCGACCAAGCATGTACATATTTCTACGGAAAATTATACAGCTTATAAGTGTGTACCAAAATTCACTAATGTACGCAAAAGAAAATATCCTCCTTGGTTCAACAGAGAAATAATAAGAGATATTAAAAGGAAATCTAAGTGTTTCGATAAATATAAACATAACAATGACATTGTAGCACATATTGAATTTAAACATCTTAGAGTCAAAGTTAAGCGTGACTTAAGTGTATCTTATAAAACATATGTCCAGTCAATTGAAAATGAAATTGGTGATAATCCTAATAAGTTCTGGGCATTCATCAATAGCAAAAGAGGTACAACTAACGTCAGTGATAATATGGTATATAACGGTTATGATCTTGATACACCAGGCGATATTGTTAATGCATTTGCTGATTTCTTCAGCAACTCTTTTGCGTCAATGTCCAATACACTAGAAAACGATAATAATGATAACTTCATGCTGGATAATTCAATACATATACAAGGATTCGATGAAAGTGAGGTTTTCAGTGCACTCAAACAAATTAAACCAAAAATGACCACCGGTCCTGATCACATTCCAGCGTTTTCAGTTAAAGACTGTGCCACTGTACTCGCCTCTCCTTTAGCAACTCTTATCAATATTTGCCTGAAGACCAAAACTGTTCCATCTTCTTGGAAGATTTCTAAAGTCTACCCAATATACAAGAAAGGTGACCGGACAGATGTAACTAATTTCAGACCTATCACTATTATCTGTAATTTCTGCAAGGTATTTAAAATCCTCCTCCAAAAAAATATTTACTTTCAAGTTGAAAAAAGTCTGTCTATTCACCAACACGGCTTTATGAAAGGTAGCAGAGGACCTGGATAATCAATTTCAAATAGACGTAATTTATACAGATTTCTCTAGAGCTTTCGACAGACTTGATCACGGTATTCTATTGAATAAACTGTCTAAACTTGGTTTTTCTGCTCATTTGGTAGAATTATTTCTGTCGTATCTATCATCAAGAAGGCAATATGTCGAGTGCCGTGGTCACAGGTCAGTCGAATATCTCGCTACGACTGGAGTACCGCAAGGGTCGAAGCTTGGTCCTCTGTTATTCAATATATTTATTAAAGACATACTCGACGGCATCGAAGTTAATGGTTTGCTATATGCTGACGATATGAAAATATTCCACAGAATTTCAACAACAAATGATTGTCAATTATTACAAGATAACTTAGATAGAATCAACGAATGGTGTATTTCCAATAAGTTATTTCTTAATCCCGGAAAGTGCTGTGTTATGTCCTTCATTTTGAAATCTTTTGTCATGTTCAACTATACCATTGATAATACTGTCTTACAGAGAACAGAGACGTTCAAAGATCTGGGGGTGATATTTGATCCAAAACTTTCATTTGTAACTCACATCGAACAAATATCGTCAACCGCCAGCAAATCCTATGGTTGTATAGTTCGATACTCCAGAGATTTCAAGGATACTGTAACTCTTAAAAGTCTGTATTATGCATTTGTCCGATCGAAGCTGGAATATGCTTCGGTAATTTGGAGTCCTCATAATAAAACTCACATCGACAATCTTGAATCGATTCAGCGGCGCTTTTTGAAACTACTTTCTTTCAGAATAGATGGAGAATATCCAGAAATTGGCATACCACATACAAATTTACTTGAGAGACATTCATTTAGCAGTCTACAAACTCGACGAGAGTAACATTCAAATGTAATACTTTTCAAAACAATCAACAACTCATGTGACTTCCATTATTTGATGCGAAGAATTCAGTTTCACGTTCCAAGAATGGCGTCCCGAGTGAATCGAACCTTTTACTTGCCAATCCAGCAGATTAGATCTTTCTTTTTTGTATTAGACAATAGTTGTAAATCACTATTCTTGTTAACTTATTTTACTGTATTCTTAGTTCTTAATTGGATTTATTCTGTGAACTAAGTAAGTGAATAAATAAATAAATAAATAAATAAATAAACTTTGCAGAGGCGGTTGGAGAATTTGGAATTCGAATCGGGTATCTTACATGAAGTTTTTGAATTTTTGAAAATCAAAGTAACTGCGTTCAAAAATGACCATGAGAAAGTTTGTGCACTGATATTAGATGAAATGGCTATAACACGATCTAAAATATTCGATACCAGTACATCTTCTTATATTGGTGATGTTACATTGCCAAATAATTCTGGTGTTGCAACTCATGCATTGGTCCATATGCTGGGTGGTATAAGTACTACAAGCTGCATCAAACAGTTGCATACTATTTTACTAGCGATTCAGTAAATGGTGCAGTTTATGAAGATATTGTTTTTAAGGTAATTGAAAGAAGTGAAGATTTAGGGCTGAAAATTGTGAGTATCACTTCTGACATGGGATCTTCAAATCAAGCCATGTGGAAGAAATGGAATGTAGTTGCAGGACGATATGCTAGAACCTCAAATTCCATCACTCAACCTTTGGTACCAATAGAAAGATATATATACTTGCAGATGCCCCTCATCTATTCAAAAATGTTAAAAATATGCTCATTACCAATGAAATAATCGAAATTCCAGAGCTGATTCAGAGAAAATACAATCTTCCAACAAATTTAATAAAGGCAGAACATGTGTATCACTTGGTAGATTACCAGAAGAACCTTGAGATAAAGTTGGCTCCCAAACTGAATGAAGAAGATTTGTTCCCGAGTCATTATGAGAAAATGAAAGTTTCAAAATCAACTCATGTCATAAGCCATGAAAAGGGCAGTGGTTGAAAATTCCGAAGAGTTGAATAAACCAGAATACTTAACCACTGCTTGGTTCATTGAAATGACATCAAAATGGTTTGCTCTGGTAACATATCGACATCCAAAGATGGCTTTGAGCAAATTAAATTTGGATGTGTATAGAGAAACACTGGACTTTTTGAACAGTTTCATGGAAATAAACCAGGAAATGGAAGTGGGACCAAAAAGAACCTGGAAACCCTCACAAACAGGTGTCCTCATCACAACCCAATCTCTTTTGGATCTGCAGCAAGTATTTCTGGAAGATAAAGAATATGTATTCTTGTTGACATCTAGATTCACACAAGATTGTTTAAAAAACTTGTCTAGTGTTGTGCGATTCAAACAAATGATACCTACAGCCCTACAGTTCAAAAATAATTTGAAATTGATATGTGTATCACAATATCTTAAAAATGTGTCCAAAGGTAGTTATGATCAAGATGACTGTGAATTTTTATCAGATTTGTCTGATATTGTTGCAACGAACAAGGGAAAGAGACGAAAGAAACGAATACAAAGGCAGACGTCCCCGAACTAATGACTTCAAGAAGATGGCGGCGCAAGACAATACGCGCAATGTAGGTGTGCAACCTAGAAAGTGTAAAAAGTTCAATATAATGTCAACAAATGGACTAAAATGTGTAAACTGTGGAATTGTCATGCATCCTGGTTGTGTAAAATACTACAGTAATATACAAAAAATCGATGAAAAGACTATAAAGTGTTGTAATGCTACTGGTAGGATAGACGAACTATAAAACATTGACCATGTGTATCAGGATATAAGTGCTTTCAATGATACATCATCATCATCTCCTTCGGTAGCTGTGAGTAATATTGAAATAACCTATCTGAAAGATCTCATGAAGCAGAAAGACCTATTGATTCAAAATCAGCAAGATCTAATCAATTCTTTGAAAGCACAAATAAGTCTAATGAACCAATATGTGTCACCATCTAATGTTGTTAAGCAGAAATCAAGCGAATAACACAATGCTTCGACTAATGAGGCAAAAATAATGTAGTTCAAGACAGGACACTCATCGATCCAACAAAAAAGATTCAAAAACCGACGGTAGTAAAAACTATCACTCATGATAACGAAATGCCAGCAGATCGAACTCGGCAGAGATATCAACCTCAACAAAAAGAGGATATTCCGAAATCACAAATTTCAAACAAAAAGTATCAAGATGATTCATCATCGAAGGATGTTGACAATAGAAATGTCTCGGCGGCTCTTCTGCAAGTAGAGAGCGGGAGGAAAATGAAAGAAATTATAAATTTGGTGAAGGACGAAGGGGATCCAGAAGCTTCGAATAGTGATGGGGCCTGGCAAAAGGTTGAAAACAAACGTTAAAAAAAAACAGTCATCTATGGAAATAACAGAAACTCTAATGTTGTAAAGGGTGTCCCAAGGTACGCGGAGCTCCATGTGAGCAGGGTCGATTCTACTAACACAGTGGAAGATATGTATGAACTCTGGAAAGATAATTTTCCTGAAGTTAAGGTGGAAGTTTTAACTCCACGGAAACCAGATATCTATTCCTCATATAAAGTTAGTATCTTTGAGGCTAATTTCAAAAAAATCGATGAACGCTAATGTTTGGCCATATGGTTCATGCATAAGCCGTTTTTTATACAAAAGCCGGAACAGAATTCAATCAGAGAGTTAGGTTCGAAAATCTTTGATCCAAACCTTTATCTTCTCAATGTATGCACTCTGAATTGTGATAAAGTTGACTACATCTTGACAGATATTTCAAATTATAAGAATTTTGATCTTTTGTGTATAACAGAGATAGGAGTGAAAGAAAATCTTGTTAAAACTTTCCACTTTGGTGGATTTTACATAACTAGTTCGTATTGCCGACCAACGAAACAATGTGGCGGAGTTGGCATATGGGCTCGGAATAATATTGAAGTACATCCAATCGATTCAACCAACTTTTGTGTTGAGCAACATTTTGAAGTTTGTGCGGTGAAGTACAAAAAAGATAATGTATATTATATTGTCACACCTGGTATATAAAACGAATAATTTATTGAACTCATAAGGAAATATCCACCAAAGAAAATATAATTCTTCAGTATATAATTATTATTAGAGTCATTCACATTTTTACAAGTAATTCGAACCCAGCTCATATTTCACAGACTGAAACTAGAAAGTTCACCTATGAGGTAATGAACTTAATCGATATAATCATTCCTGATTTTGCTAACTCGACAAGTATCGACTATAAAGCATTATGAGTATCAATTTTACGGACAGAACAAATAGTACGTGAATCGATAGCTTGTCTATACCTATCCGAGTACGATCATCCGCGCCGGTAGTTTTTTCACCCTGGTAGCAGACTCAAGAACAACCCTAGAGCTGTTACGGTTTGTTTGCAGCTTAGCGCCCATAGTTCGCCGGCAACGCGGCGATATTCATTTGAGTCTTATTTCTCGACCTATTTGGCCGTCGAACGGCTATTCGACACCAACCTGGGCAAACGTCATACGAATCATCATGAATAGTGGGGAAGCGATCTACCGAGAGTGTAGTCTATCAACTGCGTCATCGAACCGAAACCAGAACTTAAATTGATGAATCTGCTAACAGCGAGGACCCCGAGGTGTCGGCTAGCATACTTTATGAACAAATACAAGCGAATTCTCATGCAATAAATAGAAGGAATGATAGCAAATTTGTAAGCGTATAGGTTGGGGCCGAGAAGTGGTCTTGGACTATTGATACGAGTGCAGCATTCAGTTGAATGTACCTTGTCGATAACTGTCGGGAGAAGTGAAGTTGACATTGAGAATTTGACAGATTTGACAAAGACACTTTGTCACTGGTCACTGGGTCACTTCCTTCTTCCTTCAGGCATTTGGCACGACATGCTGATGGTGTCGTATGGTATATATATTGGTAGATATTCATGAATATTCTATTCATCCATTTATGGGTTATATTCTGCTAATATGAAATTTATATTTTGAAACGTATTGGGTTTTGTGATAAGCATATTTTGAGTACGTTTTCAAAATTACTCCCGTGTTCGGGATTTCAATACTTGTGTACACCAAAGCAACTTCGTTATAAAGGTATGTTCCACAATTCAGAAAATGTGAATTATCAATCATATCCCCAGCATAGTCCAAAATCACCTCTTCTGTCCACAGCCAGCTATCAAGAACGATCAGTTGAACCATACATAACCTAACCTCTCATCTCAACTCAAGGGAGCCCCAGGGCTGATTTAGGAAACCTGAGATACCTTGTGTGATATTATTTGTAGGTTATAGAGGAAACAAGCCCCACTGACACTCGGGTGTGTCTTACACATCTTATTTACTAGTAATCTATCAGCATTATTGTCTGTGCAATCTGACCTTTGAGGGGGCTGAAATCTTTAGTTTGAAGTTAATTCTTAGAGCTCTAGTGAGACAGAGTGGTCTCTTGATATTTATGGGGAACCTACACCACTTTTAAGGGACATAGTGTAGTGTGTGAGATAGTCAAACCGAGTTACAACTGTGATTGATTACTGGAAGGGGGCCCTTGAGTCTTTTATGGGGGCACCTCTGGGCATAGAGTTCCTAGTTACACTACAGTTGTGGCCCTTTTCATAGATATAACTTCCTCTCGGTGGAATTATTGATTAAATGATAGTACTGAGATTTCGTACCCAGTTGTCTACGTTTCCTAGTCTTCTCAAACTGTTTGTTATTATCCAGCTTGTATTTACTGATAGTTCGGTCAAGTGTTTTGAGTATTATTTCCATGATATCTAGTGAAAGTTAAGTTTAACATTTTCTTGAGCCTACCTCACAGATAGTGGTCTGTTCATGTTGGTATCTGGAATATTGATATTTTGTGTACGTTGTACAGAGAGGACCCATTTGATACTTTCCAACAGGCCTAATAATGTAATTTCAACTGAATCAAAAGTACTCGGCCTTTGTCTGAGTCTATACCACTTCAGGTTTTCAAGCTGGATTTTAATAATGTCACTTTCATGTTCATCGAAATGATAAAGCCTTTTTCTGAGGGTATACCAGGTGACATCACTTAAGTTTTCAAGCTGGATTTTAATAATGTCAGTTTCAAATTGATCGAAATTACTTTACCATTTTCTGGGACTATACAGGGTGTCACCACTTAAAGTTTTTAAACAGTGTAATGACAAAGGGCTTTTCCTACTCAACAAGAATTGCAATACATTTTTGAAATAGACAACTATACAGGGTGGGACAACCTAAAGTTTCCAAGCAGAATCTTACTAATCTTTCTAAAATGAGTTCATTGAGATTAATTAAGTTATATATTTGAAATGTTGAGATTGGTTGAGTTGGTTATGGGTTATACAGGGTGAAATCCTAAAAAGTGAACAAAAGGGTTATAAATGTTCTGTTCGAGATTACAGATTGATATTTGATGATATCGTAGTTCAATTTCAATTTAATGGGGTTTTAATAGTTTTTTTTAATAACAACCTGAGTACAGAAATATTGTCAAACAAGTAAGGAATAGCGTGTAATTTAGCTTATTCCTTCACAGGGTTTTTCCTTTTGGTATAAGTCTGCTCATATTTCTCGTCGTGCTTGGTACTAAATCTGGAGGCTTAGGATTCCTGGTTGTTCGGCCCAGATCTAACACTGCTGAATTCGAACCAGCATTAGCCGAACTTTGACTGCAGATACCATCATCTGCTAGTCGCAGACATTATCAACACTTCGAGCAGTCTGCAGTCTACAGTCTGACATCTGACTTTTAGGCTCAAGTCTTCGTCGTGGGATTGCACGCAAGTTTTTACTAGGAAACTTATATTTAACTTTGAACTGTTATCACTGGGAATTTATCTTGAAATTTGATTTAATATTATGATATAATTCGTTGCGTCATTACTTTATATCGAATGTTCTTCTGATTCCACAGACCTCATTTTACTTTTCGAATATTTAGGGAAACCCAGCGCTTATGCATAAGGCTTGGTAAGCCAATTTACCCATATTACATAGGTTGTACTTAATTTGAGACTGTGGGGTCATAGAATATTATTTGATTCCATCTATTTACCATTTCATTTATAATCATCTATTCACACTAAAGGCCTAAGTATTTTTGAGTTGACACTGTGAGATTTTGTACAATTGTTATTAATATTGAATATTGAATTTGCGATAAGGTTCTGTATCATTCATTTTTTTTTTTTGGTTTTGATGCAATTAAACTGAAGTTGTTATTGTTATACCGAGTTAATTATTTCCTTTGATTTTCATCAACTTATTTTGGTAAATTTGGTGAGTTGATTAGCAACTAAGGGTGTTTGCCAGGGGTAAATTTATCTGGCGCCCATTTCACTATGAGAATTCATTTTTAACGATTTTTCTTCATATCGAACCCCCCCATCTCCACTGTAGCGAGCGGCAAACTACCCGTCTGTCATTCTGACAGCCGGTTTATGCGACTTTAAGGTTTTAGAGCGTTGAGGTAGGTCGCAGAGCTATGGCAAGGCACAACTCCCCATCCACCAGAGCGGCAATGGTATTGGCAATGTGAGTACTTATTTTATGTAAAAGTGTTTTTGTTACCTCGTGCGGCCCCCGTAATTATCTTCAACCCCTTTGGTAGTTAGATCCAGAGATGTAGGGAGTTACTGGAAAGTGTAGGCACAGAGTCACTCTAGTTTATTCACGTCACTTGATATCTTTTGGTAACTTTTAACCCTTTTTGTTTTTACTTGCTCACTATGTCCACTGTTTTAATCACTAATAAATATCACTTTTGTTAAACAAGAAGTACACTCTTTCCTTGCTACAACCGAGCTACGGTGTGTAGTAGTTAGGTCACCCTCTCGCTGCTAAGCATAACCCCCTAAGATCACGCAGCCAGGATGAAAGGCCCCGTGAGTTCCTGACACTTAAGAAGGCGAATCCTGGGATCGTGACAATATTGTGATCAACTGTTACAGATCTCCTTCAGGAGATGGCGATTCATTTTTTGAAAAAATGTATGGTGTCTTGGATTATTTAGTTAAACCCAATACAAATCTCATAGTATGTGGGGATTTCAATCTCGATGTTTACAAAAATAACAAATTTAATGAATTATGTACAATATTTTCCACTTTCAAATTGTCCCCAATAGTAAACTGGCCAACACGTGTAACGTCGACAACATGTACTATTATTGATCAAATATCTGTTTTGTTAGTGGATAACTTCTTTTCTGATCATCGAACAATTTTATATGAATTTCCTGTACCTATATAATAATAATAATGTTTAATTTGTATATACCATGAATGTATTTGTACTTGAACTTTGTCGACAAAATGTAGACATTTT